CACAGCTTATAAGGAAGAAGTTTGACTTTGTTAGAATATGCATTCGGCATTCCCTAAAAAACGCTTCACGTGGTCCATGATTGTGAAATTAATGAAGAAAACATTTTACGAAACCCTTGAGCAACTTATTTGGATCTGCGCAGAACCTTCTCTACCATCATTATCATATGAGAGATCGTTTCAAATTGGAAAAATAACTCCACCCAAGTGAAAAAGGTAAAATCAGATTCTATACAGAGCCTTTAATAATTAATTAAAAATATTAGTTGAATTGAAGATAGGGTGAGTGTAGACTTGACGTTCGCGGCAAGATATTATTGGTGGAGGTATCTATCTAGGTTTGTAATGGTAGGAAGGAAAGAGTAAGATAGAAAAAATAAGGTGAAATAGGAAATAGGGATAGGAGGAGGGTAATAATATTAATGAGGCAATAGAATATTAATGAGTAAAGAGTGATTAGTAATTAGGAACAGTAGAAGTAGAAGTAGAAGTAGAAGTAGAAGGGAACTAAAAAAAGGGAAATAACGCGAACGCACAAGAGAGAGGGTAGAGTAGAGAGATTCAAGATCTGATGATCGGTGATAATCGTTGAAGAGAGAGAGAGAGAGAGAGAGAGTATGGGTTGTTGCCAATCATCGATGTGGCTGAGAGCGAGGGAGAGGGAGACTCACCCTGAAAAGGAAAAGGAAAGGGAAAGGGAAAGGGAAAAGGAAAAAGAGCAAGCGTACGGTAACCACCAGAGGGCATCGGAGGGAGAGGGAGAGGGAGAGAAAGAAGGCTTCGATTTCTCCTTCTCCGAGTTCTACTTAGCGGACCTCAAGGCGGCCACCAACAATTTCAGCTCCGACTATATCGTGTCGGAGAGTGGGGAAAAAGCACCCAACCTCGTCTACAAAGGTCGTCTGCAGAACCAGAGCCGTTGGATTGCGGTCAAGAAGTTCAGCAAGGCCGCCTGGCCCGATCCCAAGCAATTCGTCGAAGAGGCTTCCGGCGTCGGCAAGTTGCGCCACCCTCGCCTCGCTAATTTAATCGGCTACTGCTGCGACGGCGACGAGAGGCTCCTCGTCGCCGAGTACATGCCTAATGACACTCTCGCCAAGCATCTCTTCCACTGTATCATCCTCTTCTATCCCTATTTCTCTTCCTTTCTTTCTTTTTCCTTCCTTTAACTTACTCATTTCTTTCCTTCAGGGGAAACTCAGACCATTGAGTGGGCCATGCGCTTGCGTGTCGCTCTCTATATCGCTCAGGCTTTGCATTACTGTAGCTCCGAGGGACGGCCCTTGTACCACGACTTGAATGCATACCGTGTTCTCTTCGACCACGAAGGTGATCCCCGCCTCTCCTGTTTTGGTTTCATGAAGAACAGCAGAGATGGCAAGAGTTACAGCACCAATCTTGCATACACGCCTCCTGAATATTTAAGAAACGGTAACTAACTCCCTTTCCCTTTCCCTTCCCCTTCTCACCTTTTAACTCGCTAATTCCCTTTATTCTTCATTTTACAGGAAGGGTCACCCCGGAAAGTGTCATTTACAGCTTCGGAACCGTTCTTCTAGACCTCCTCAGTGGCAAGCACATCCCTCCTAGTCATGTAACTGCCTTCTATCCTTTACCCCTTTGCTAACTGCGCTCTTTCTATTATTAACTCACACCTTCTCCATAAGATAGCTTCTCAACCTGGATTTAACTCTAACCAATTCATGTCTGTATACACATACACACATCTAGTTGAATTTGACTGATGGACCAACTTGGCATTTTCATTATAGTGAGTTGCTTCTTGTCACAGAATTTGATTGCCTGATTCCCGCTTATCACTGAAAGCTGTAAATGCCTCTTTTGTTTTAAATTGAGGTGTTCTAGTCTTAAACATGTAGTTCTTACTTTCAGTGCCTTTCCTTATAGATCTTGGCTATTATTGTGTTCATAAATGCTTGTCATGACCATATTTATTTTGTGGCACTGAAGTTGTGCTTGTGCAATAAATGATATTACAATTTTGTTCAATAAATGAAAATTTAACTTGTGCAAATGGCAACTTAAGGCATGACAATCTTTCTCTTTGGTTGATAGTTATTAACATTGGAAGTTGCAGATGCTATGATAGATATTTTCAGTATTTTTGTTTACCTGATGTCAATGCATTTTCCATTTGCTGACTTGTTCGATTATCTTTATTGGTTGGTGCCATATGGAGTTATCTGATTCTGTTTGCAGGCACTTGATATGATACAGGGGAAAAACAATATGCTCTTAATGGATTCACATTTGGAGGGAAAGTTTTCAACAGAAGAGGCAACAGTAGTTGTTAATCTCGCCTCTAAATGTTTGCAATATGAACCAAGGGAGCGGCCTGATACAAAGGATTTGGTCACAACACTCGCCCCATTGCATACAAAACCCGATGTACAAATCCCTTCTCTAACTTAATAATGGAACAAATTATTTACTGAATACAGTGATTGAAACTTTGTTGCTTGAACGGCCCTACTAAATATTCCATTATCACCTAAATAAGATTTTATGTTGGATGTTAAAGTTCCTTAATGTCTAATATTCATATTTTTTTGACTTCTGAAATTAAATATTTTTTATTTGGTCACTCATTGCAAAATGAAATCTACTTGGTTGGTGTCTCTTCGCTCACCATTCTCAAATTTTATAGAACTTGGTAACCCAAATATTAGGCTGGGTGATTTGCATAGGTTTAATTTGACTCTGACTAGGGTTTCTTTAGGCTATACACTTTTCAACTTGCATGAGATGATATCATATGATAAGGGGTTTGTGTATAAGATAGGTAATAGATGATTCATATGTCAAGTTCAAAAACAGCCAAAGTAATTGGTTTATATGGTTCTAGCGGACAGTTAGAAAAGAATTGGTCATCTTTGCTGGTTTGGTCCTTGTTTCAGGGTTATATTATTAAATTAATAAATTTCATTTCAATCACCCAAAAAATAAATCTTGTATGTACTTCTGTTAGTCTATTACTTTTAAAGGATAAAAGATATTTTGGTAATTTTCCTGATTTGATGTTATCTTGAAATATAGGCACATAAACTTTAAGAGACATGTTCTTTGCATGCACCTATCTCATTAAGAGATTGTCAAGACTTCTTATCTATGGTTAGTTTTATCTATGGTTGGTCAAGAATTTGGCCATAAGGCTTAAATTAACCTCACAAAATTGACTTCATCACAAAATCAACCTGTTGGGTGAGGTTTGTTCAAGTCTTATAGGGACTACATTGACCACATTTCTAGGAATAGACATCTAGAGCTAGACAAATACAGGTAACCGAATAATGGATCTAAGATGGACTTTGATACTTTATTAGAATTTGGACTTATGGCTTAACTTAATCCAACAAATCAGACTTGTAAGGTGAGGATTAGATAAGTTTTATTTAAGCTACATCTCTAGGAGATGTGAGAATAAACACACCAACTCAAGCCTGAAATTATGACAGCCGCAACGAGGTGGCAATTATGATGGGGTTACTGCAATTAAGGTAGATTTCCAGCACACCCTCTCACACCTAGGGCTATGGCTTTGGAGTGTGGCAATAGGGATATTCATGGATCAATTTTTTGAAAAATCCAAACCAATCAATTTTAAAAAATTGTTTGGTTAACTGAATTGTTTTTTATAAAATAAATTGGTTCGATTTTATTAAAAGAGTTAGATTGTTTTTTAAAAATTGGATTGGTTCGATGCAGTTCGGTTATTTACTTTATACTCATGGTTTGTTTGCTTGTTTTTGGAAAAACCAAATCGAACTGGAGATATCCACTTTATAAAAATGGACTGGTTAATTGAATCGTTTTTGCAAATAAGATTGATTTGATTTTTTTCCTCAAAATGGGTCGGTTCAAATTTTTTTGCACATCCCTAGTGGCATATATGGGTGGCCCAACAATGAAACTAGGATAGGCTTGATGACCATCTTTGAATTTGGGCTTAACACCCAATTCAACCCTATAAAATTGGTTTTAAACAACCAACTTGCAAGGTGGTGATTGTTCGAGGCTTATAAATATAAGGGCTACATGTCTACATTGGCCATATTTTAGTTGATGTGGGACCTTAACACACCCCTTGTGCTCATGATTCAATAAAACACTCACTTCTAAGAAAAGAAATTTAGAGCGAAGACAAATAGGGTGACCAAATAACAAATTTATGATAAGCTTTGTTATCATCTTAGAATTTAGGCTTAGAACGTAACTCAATTCTACAAAACCAATTTGTAAAATGAGGTTGCTCAAACTTTAGTATCTCTATTTAAGCAATATATATAGGCAATATTGGACTAAACACCCCCCTAGAGGTTGCAATTTATGCAAGTCCCAAAGAGGTTGTAATTAAGATGGGACATGGATGATCACAATTAAGGCTACTTTCTCACACCCCCCTCACTCCTAAGGTTAAGGACTTGGAGTGTGACGATGCAAGTGGTCAAACAATGAATCTAGGATAAACCCTAAATCTATATTAGAATTTAGGCTTAGGGTCAAATCAACCCCACAAAACCAACTTTAAAATTTAGCTTGTTAGGTGAGAACTATTCAAGCCTTATGAGGACTATATTGGCCATATCTCTAATCACTTTGAGATCTTAATGCACCCACTCACACTCATGCCTAAGAGCTAACAACAACATCCCTTCATGCCTAGGAATAAACATCTTAAGTGTAGACAAATATGATTGGTTCAATAAGAGATCTATAATAGACTTTGATTCCATTTTAGAACAAGTTTTGGGCCTCCACAAAAGTGGATTGTAAAGTGAGGATTGCTCAAGCTTTATAATCTATATTTAAATTATCGCTACATGATATGGGAATTAAACACATTGAGGCTACATCCAATGTGGGACTCAAGTTTTATACCTTGCAATTGGATTCTAACATCTCACAACACCTTGCCACATTGACGCTCACATGAGCTTACTATGCAATAGCCCTTCGACTAGTTTTGAGTGAACAATACAATGTTGGTGTAATAATAAATCTAAGATAGACTTTGATACCATCTAAGAATTTAGGCTTAAAGCCTAACTCAATTTCGCAAAATCAAGTTTAAAAAACCAACTTGTAAGTTAACACTGTCAAAGCCTTATAAGGACTACATAGCTATATTTCTAGTCGATGTAGGATCTTAACTAGTTGGTTATAAGGAATTCTCGGTTCATAATTACGACACACCCTTTTGTGCCTAGGATTGGACATATATATGGAGTGTGGATAAATATAGGTAACCCAATAACAAAACCCCCTCACATTTAGGAATAGACATTTGGAGTGTAGACAAATATGAGTGACCTAATAACAAATCTAGGATAGACTTTGATACCTGTTTATAATTTGGATTTAGAGCCTAATTCAATTCCTCAAAATTAGATTGTAAAGTGAGGATTGTTTAAGCTTTATAAGCTTTTTTAAGGCCATATCTTTAGGTGATGTAGGACTAAACACCATCTTGAGACTGCAATTAAGGCAGACCCTAGAGAGATGTTAAGGTGGGCTAGGAGCGATTGCAATTAGGATAGCTGTTCAACAAGTAAACAAGTCCTAATTCATATTTTGCGTGCATTTTAATTATAGGACATTAAGTAGCTTAAATTGCACTTTGAAGTCCCTAAATTTTTAATTCAGCAGTTGTGGTTTTCTAATTTTGTAAAATTTCCAATTTTGGTCCAACTGTTAAATGTTCATTCATTAACCATTTAACTTGTAATTTGACTATGATTCAACATTAAGTAAATAACGTGACAATTAATATTTATTAATATTTTGGTTAAATTAAACTTGTAGTATGAATTTCCACCCCATAAAAATGGTAAAAGGAGATAATAGTGAGGTAAAAATAAAGAGCAAAAATGAAATTTAGTATTAATATTATTGAATATTAATTGTTACATGATCTACTTAATGTTAGATCATAGTCAATGTTAAAATTTTTTACTTCAGTCATTTGATGAATATTTAATAATTGGACCAAAATTGTGGATTTACAAAAATGGAGGATTAAAAATTAAAAATTATGAAATTAAAAACTGGGAGACAAAAATTGCAGATCAAATATAACAAAGTGACCAAAAGTGTAATTTAGCCATGTAAACATGAAAACTATTTATGTACAGACTGTTTATGGTATTGCCTTTATATGTTATACAAAGACAGTCAGTTGGATAAGGATGACCCAGTTGATAGACTCATGATTTCAAAGTTTAGCTTATGTCATAAACCTGGTTGAATGGCTGATAACCAAGCCAGTGAATCAGTTAAATGTCTTTGGCTGCCATCAGAATCGGACTACAATGAGCCAGATGTTACTTTCAAGTTTGCATTTAATTGCAGCTTGAAAATTCTCAAGCCAGTGCATATAAATATGTAAGGTCCCAAGGCATGTGCATTGAAGGTGTTGAACTTCATATAGTCATTGGATAAAATTTTGTTATCCATCTAAAATTTTTAACTTTGCATTCATACATATCTTACAAGAATGTGTTAATTTAACTATTTAAGCAATATACTAAAAATGGTGCACGGAACAAGCTAATTCTATGCAATGCTGAACGTGACTAAACAAATTTCTCCCATGCTTTTGTATGTATGCACGTATTTTTATTGTCTTTCTCGTCTTATCATGTATTTCTTGGTGTGTAGAAAACTAGAGAAGGGATTAAAGGTGTATTTTGAGCTCTAGCAATGCCAACAGCTTCTCTCACTTGATATGGAAATATATCCTTGTTAAATGGCAATTTAGGTGTATAGATGGGATTAAAGCAACATCAATACTGGTTGATTGTTTTTATGTGCTTCAGGTTCCTTCGCACATCATGCTTGTAATTCCAAAGCAGGAGGAAGCTCCATCAACCCCACAGCGCCCTCTTTCGGCAATGGGTGAGGCATGTTCAAGAATGGACCTAACAGCCATACATCAGATCTTGGTTGCGACACACTACAGAGACGATGAAGGAACTAACGAGGTAACGGATTGGTGCAATGGTTTTAAATGTACGAATTTTGGTTGGATGATATGCCATAAGGTTTGAATTTTGGTTCAGTTGTCGTTCCAAGAGTGGACTCAACAGATGAGAGATATGCTGGAGGCAAGGAAGCGTGGAGACTATGCATTCCGTGACAAAGACTTTAAGACAGCCATTGATAATTATTCCCAGGTGCAATTCAGCATTTGTTCGACATTGTAAACGATTGTAGCTTAGCTATGTGCACGCTAATTATTTTGAGCTGCTTCTGCTGTGTTATTTGTGCAGTTTATTGATGTTGGAACGATGGTCTCCCCAACTGTTTTTGCAAGGCGCAGTCTATGCTATCTGTTATGTGATCAACCAGATCCTGCGCTGAGAGATGCAATGCAAGCACAGTGTGTTTATCCAGACTGGCCCACGGCTTTCTACATGCAATCGGTTGCTCTTGCCAAGCTGGACATGCACAAGGATGCGGCTGATATGTTAAATGAAGCAGCTGCGTTGGAAGAGAAGAGGCAACGAGGAGCGAGAGGATCATAGTTTTATGCAGTGGGCTAATTTGAGGGAGGGTGCCAAGTTCTGTATAAAGGTTGAGTTGGGAAGCAAAACTAACGTTTGAATCTGAATTTAAAATATGTCAGAGAAATACAGCACTGGTGGAGTAGATGGCGCATGCACTTTATTTCACCATCTTATGGGAATCGGTCACAACTTGAAAACTTTGCTCTAAATTGGGAAGGAGTACCGGTCATTTTTCCATTGTTAATGAAATTGATTGTTTGATGCCTACTGGGTTACTGTCAATCAGGTGTTTATTGAGGTTATTCTAACTCCCCCACTGGTCAAGGCCATGGTGTTCATATTATATTATGCCTGCATAATCTACATCTACATGGAGTAATAGTAATACATGTGCAACTTTTATTCCTAATATCATTTTTTGGAAATATACCTTCTATTTATTTTTCAATGATTAGTGGAGTAAAATCCTGAATACATAGTTCGTAGTAGTAGGTAGCATACCACAATTTTTAATCAGGCGCTTAATTTTGATCTTTACAGATATATTTAAAGTATTTTTCCGGGTTAGAGAAATGTAAAATATTAGTTTTCTCACATACTTTTTAGTTTATAATATAAATATGATTATTGAGATTTGTTACAATTGGTTTAGACAGCTTGCTTTACTTTAGCCTTTATTATACCAAAACACCAAAAGCCCCTCTTACTTTAAAGGTTACTCGTGCTTCGTCTATTGTACAAAGTTAACTCTGGAAATTGTAGCTTTGATACGATAATATAATTTATTTATTAGTTAGGCCACAAGTATCCTAAGCATTATTCGGTTAGAAATTAATCTTGCTTGTGCTATTGTAATTATCATTGGTATAGAGAATTTTTGCATGACAATTGAACATAAAATTTCTTATTTAATAAATTATTCTCATATAAATACAAAGTGTCTAATTACTGTATCAATTTATAGGGTTAATAATAATATAGTTTGAGAATTTTAAATGCCGTCATAATTAGTGTATTATATCCTTTGTTAAAAGCACTTGGATTCTATTTCTAGTATTTCATAAAGGAATAGCAATTCAAAGGGAAAATGTTCTAGTGCTTTTAAATTATATGGACTGATTTTGTCACGTAGGTTTATAGATGAATAACCTCGTCTAAATACCTAAAAATAGTGTTTACAGATTGGTTGATTCAGTTTTAAGAAAAAAATAGAACTAATCAAAATAAATTACGTTGGTTTAATTAAATTGAGGAGAGGTAGAGAAAGAAGCCAACTTCGTCAAGAAGGGATTGGTTTATTTTTTAGTTCATAAAGTTGGTTTCCATTCTTTAAATTTTGGTTCATGAAGTTGCTCCAAACCAATAGACACCCAACCTGAAATATTTTTCTTTATCCTCTCATGATTCAATTAGGGATAATAGGTAGAGCCAAAGTTGGGTACTATAACACTCAGTTCCCATATTTGCGAATGAAAAATAAAATAAAATACTTGTATCTGCTTTCAAACTCATATATGCATTAAAAAATACCCATCGTGACTTTGTTCTCCATCTTTATATCCACTAGGTAGTTAGGTAAGGTTCAAGTCTTACTATGTTTTAGTAATTATATATATATATATATTAAACCGTAACGACCCAATCGTTGAATTTAAAATTTTTAAGGTACATATTAAATCTGAAAATTTTTAAAAAATTTAAAAATTATTTAATATTTCATTTTATTAATTCAAATTAATAGATATATAATATTTTTTTAATTATCTGCCAATTTGAATTAATGAAACGAAATGTCAAATAATTTTTAAGTATTTTAAAAAATTTACAGATTTTTGATCTGTGCATTAAAAATTTTAAATCCAACAATTAGATCATTAAAATTTGATATAGAACATAAGTTATTTAACGAAATAAGTCTATTTACACTTACTTCAAATTATACCATTATCAATTATTACGTTGTTCAATAACTTTTAATTCAATAATATTTTTTTAATAGTTATTACAAATATATATATATATATATATATATATTATATTTTAACCCTCTCATCTCTCATAATAAATTCTCTCTCACTTGATATGCTCCCTATATATATATATATATATATTAAAATTGATTAATTATTTTTTAATAGTTTTAAATTTAATTTTAAAAAAATAAATAATATGAAATCAAATAGAGATAATTTCTTTTGAGTCTAATTTTTATTAACTCTTTATTTGATTCAATTGTTAAGTCGGATCGAATTAACTCAATCTTTTACAAATCTAAAAATAAATAGGTAAACTTAATTTTATCGATGAGTTAGTTAATCAATACTAAGCATTGCTTTATAAAAATTGAAGATCATAAATCGAGATGCCCATTCTTTAGGCTAATTTGAATCAAAATGGAATTGCAACAAAAATTTAAAATATTTTATGTTTTAAAGTTTAAAAATTAACAATCAAAGTGGAATAATGAGACAATGTTTGTGTTTTATCTATTTTTTTTCTTCAATGGACCCAAAAAAAAAAAGTGACCACATAAATTACATTTTATGACCCATACCAAAATAAACAAAGATGCTTAATTGTGGAAGGTTATATTTTTGCAGGCGCATGCAATAACGAATAGTGGGGGGAAGTGAATGGAATGGTGGAGGTCCCACAGGGAGACTTGAGTTGATTGCATGATAATCACGTGCACTAGTCATTTGCCAATTGCCATGGTCTCTTCTCGAAGATAAGAAAGTGACATTCTCTCTCTCTCTCTCTCTCTCTTAATTTGTCATGCTTTCAATTCCAATTGATCACTATTCTGGCAAATTTCCACTAGAAAGAAAGCAAAACAGGTAGAATACCAATAACTCCATAGTGTTATGTTATTGTTACATTGCATGTCTTGTTGCTATTGCCTTTTAAGCAGCACATGATATATATATCCCCTCCTCATTTTATGGGTCTACCTATATAAGCTATATCATCATGTTTCTTGGTAAACTATTACCTATATTTGAATGTCTTTACACATCCGATTATTCATCAACTCTTATTTGATACTTGTAACTCTGAACATGGATGGCTGTCTGACTGAACCTAGTGTCTAACAAAGCCTATAATTATTACTACTAATTAAATTTTTATAGAACAATATTATTTTCACTTAAAAAGTTTACAATTAATTTTGTATCTCCATCTTTTTTTAATTAAATTAATCATCTCATATGTTACTTTTCTCTTGCAAAACATTTTGTAAGATGTTAGTTAAAAACAAATACTTTGGTACAATGTATAATACTCATTTAACTACTCCACAATAATTAAGAAATTTAGTTAATTAACTAAGTAATATTAAATTTGTTAATAATTTATATAATTTTTATATTATCTTTAAAATATTGAGATTTCATTTTCTAATTAATTCATTTATTCTAGTACTTAAGGGTATTTTTACCAAAAGAAAAAAGAAAAAAAATAGTGGACAATTTTAAATTAGGTCTTATAAAAACATCAATTTTTTTTTTAAAAAAAGGCTACAATTAAGAAGAATCTTACATGTGATTGTCCAGTTCTATGTGTTGATAGTAACCACTCAAATTTTTTTTCAAATATAATTATATTTTTAATTTAATTTTAGTCCTTGGTTCTTTGAGCTACTTATGCCCTTTCATTTTAAAATTGTGAAAATTTGGTCCTTAATTATGACATTGTTTTTAATGTAAAATCCTCCAATTATTCTATATTTTGAGATTTATAATATACTTGAGATACGAAACAATTTAAAAGCTTACAAATAAGAAATTCAACAAAAACTTGGAAATTTTCGAAAGATTTTATTAGTTTGAGATTGAAATTCGATAAGAGAAAAAATTAATATTTATTTTTGGATAAAATTTATAATTTTTGAATTATAAACATGTGAATTAATTGATATGAAATTGTTCTAGTATTGTCAATGATTTCAAATTTGATTTTTGTTAAATATTCAAAGGAATAATTTTATAGTTCATAGTAATCCTAGTAGGTTTGAATAAAATTTTGTCTATTAGAGGATATATTGGTCTAATTTATGAAAGAAAAATGAATAAAATAAAATTTGAGTTTTAAATAAAAAAGATAACAGAAAACTAAATTTATAATTTTTAAAAAAGTAAAAAGACTAATTTAACTAAAAACATTTTAAATAAATAAAATACACATAATTTAAATTAAAGAAAGATACAATTAAACTTCTTTTGTTACATTAGACGTTTCTTTGAAAACAATTTTTAGCTGAATATGTTTATACATATTATATATCCATCCTAAAAGAACCCAACTGTTACTTGGGCTTCTATAAAAATGAGTGTACAGATTTGTAATTACAAAATGGATTGAAGGCCACGCGATGATTCAGCGCGTGTTATCCGCCTATTTACGCACGCAATCCTTCTTTTGCTGCTTATGTGCATTCTTATCGGTTTTTTTCTATACAGTAAATTAAAATATGTTTTATAATATTAAAAGTTTATATATATAATTTAATTACAAGCTAACAAGGGATAATGTTAAAGGTTTTTCTTTTTTAAATTATCATCCATGGCAAGCATATTAGCTTTTGTAATAAGTACTCTAGAAAATTATATTTGTTCTACATGAATATAAGAGTGGCATATTTGTTGGAGTTGCTGAATTTTTTAATGAAATTTTCTAAGTGAAGCTCCAAAGTGATAAACTTTAACAACTTTGACACTTGGGTTAGTAACTACAAAAAATGATAAAAATGAGTAGGGCCTTTATGAATCGAATTTTTAAAAAAAATTTAATTAAATCGGATCGATCTCTTTTAAAAAAGTGGATTGTTTAATCAATTTATTTTTTATAAAGTGGATCGATTTGATTTTTTAAAATATGAATCGAATTCTTTTAAATTAGAACGGTTTAGTGTGGTATAATTATTCATTTTTTTACTCATATATGGATCAATTTTTTTTAAAAAAATCAAACTGAACTGAACCAATCCACTTTGCTAAAATGGATCGGATAACTGAACCGATTTTATAAAGTAGATCGGTTTGGATTTTTTTCTCAAAACGGGTCAGATTTTCAATGCAAAATGGATTGATTATGGATCGGTTCGGATTAATTTAGATTTTTTGCACACCTCTAAAAATGAGAATGCATCTTTTACGTTATGTCTTATATTCTCCTTCTTTTCTTAATTGAGTCTTATCAAAATAAGTCTGATTATAAATAAATGAATATCATTTCATCTATTTAAAGTCTAACTTTAACATAATTTATTTAATAAAAAAATAAAATTAAAATTTTTAAAAAGTTTATTGATTTTAAAAGTAAGACTTATATTTATAAAATTTTTTTGTTAAATTAGATACGTTAATTTATTTATTTATATGATAATATATATATATATATATAGTTTTTTTTTATATTTTCACTAAATTTAACATTTTAAATTTTTTGTTTGATACGAAATTAAAATATTGAAAATAAAAATTTTAATAGTCACATCTTGTCTATTTTTTTTTCATCTTTATGATTGATTGTTTAGAATACTTCAAATGGGTATAAAAAATATTTAATTTTTTTTAATAAGATTATCTTCTTTTATGAGTATACATGAGTTGTCCCTCAATTAGTTTTTCATTTTTTTCTTGTTTTAAATTGTAAATTTTAATAATAATAATAATAATAATAATAATAAAGTAAAATATTTTTTATCATACAAATTAAAAAATATTTAATATACAAATTAAAAAAAAGACTTACATATGTATTTAAAAATATAATTATTAATTTATTTAAAATTAAATTATTAATCTATTTAACATTATTAATGTAAAATACACACTTTTAAAGATGTTAAACTAGACCTATAAAAAATATTTTATAATATATAATAAATCAGGATTAAACTTTAATTTTATAGAATAAACTCAACTTATATATTCAAAATTTGACTTGATCTAATTTATTCTCACATCTAATGATACTAACCATGAGATATAGAAATGCTAGGGGAAAAAACAAATAAGATGTAAAACAAGGTTGTTGGTTGCGGAAAAATTTGTTAAGATATATATATATATATATATATAGGAATGCTAATATACTCCCACCTATTTTTTAGTTAGAGTATGTTAGTAACCAATACTACAATTTTAGGACAAAAAAATCACTCATTTCTTTTGATTTGGTTAATTTATATAAAGGATATTATAGTAATTTAATTTAATTTAAAAAAAAAATATTTTATCTCTCTTATTAACTTCATTCTCTAAGTCATTTCTGTTCCACTCACATCCGATGTCATTCAACTCGCACTCATCGTGGATGAGATGTGGAACTCTTAAATGCTCACGTTTAGCATGACAAAATTCACGTTAGACTCCATTTTAAGTAGCGAGTCTCTACCTTACTTACATCCAATGTCACTCCATTGGCATTCAACATCAATCTAGGCTAATGTAATTCTCTCTTTATACTTGGTGTCATTCAACTTAACATCTAGCATGACTAAATTAGAGATAATGTTTTCCTTATACTCAATACCACCAATCCTATACACGACACGAACAAGATAAAAGACTCCTTATTTGAGTCACAATTGATGCCATAAAGACATGTCCAACATAATGGTAAATTTTGCACTAGTATATTCATAAATTAATTTTAAAATTATTTAAAATTAATTAATTTATGCTAAAAGTCCATTTCAAACTAGTCTGAAGTTAATTTTAAGTGATTTAACATCGTTTCAATAAAAATCAAAATGACTTTTAAAAAAAATTAACATCAATTAATTTAATTTTATACAAAACCAAAGTATATACACTCTTAATATTTTTTTTTATCTCAACTTGGACAATCTGACCGCATATCCGTCAATTTAATAGTTGTAAATTGTAAGAATCAATGACCAATTATGTTTGAAATTTGAACATTGAATAATTGGCGTTAAAGGTATTTTGTAAAACAGAAAGAAAAAGGGCGAAGCCAAATTCTATGTTCACATATTATCTTAGAAAAGAAATATGAGTGGATCACTTCTATGGATCATTTTTGGAGAGTGGATTTATTGTTTGAGAATATTTTTGCTTGGGGCTAATGAAACATGGCGTAGAAAATTGTTCGTGTATTAAAAAAAGGAAAGTGATATAAACCCACCTCTTCCAATAATATTAATAATACTAAAAAGTGATAGATGCTTTGATACTTTTTTATTTTTTAAATTTGAGCCTACCGCGCATATTTCATCCACACGGGATATCTTTTAGGTACATGTACAAGATCGGATGAAGGGCGAGGTTAATAAAACTCTTGTTTTAAATTCTCTTAAAAAATATTTTATAGTATTATTTATATAATTATTTTTAAATTTTCATAATTTAAAAATCATTTTTTATATTCATAAAATTACACTTTAAAAATTCTATTTCTAAAAATATATAAATATAATTATTTTTAAAATGATTTATCTTTAAAATATTTTCATTTTTTTTTTATAAAAATATATTGTTATTAATTTGAAAAAGATTCACTTTAAAAAATTTTTTAGGTCTAATAATATATTGGGTTTACCTGCCCATATATTTACACCCTAGGACACAAATTTAATTTATTTGACACGCATTTATGTTGGCAGGAAATGATATTTGAAGAACAGAAGAAGAAAAAAAAAGTAAAAAGAAAGTTTGCATAATGCCTTTAAGATGTGGATATATATTGTTTAGGCTTAATTTGCCCCCACTATTGGCAGTATTTGAATGCAATTTGGGTTTGATAGTAAATTCTGTGATCTAATAATGATGTTTAGAGAATGATATATAATTTTAATTTCATCTCTTATGCACTAAATATAAAGCAAAAGAAATTGTTAATGAAAGAGGGAACAAAATTTTAAAAATTAAATCCATTTTGATTAGAGAATACTCTTATTTTTATATATAGACACTTGGTGTAATGAAAAGTCACATTTTATTTAATTAACGTCATTTCATGATTACATGTTAATTTTTTACTGGTATTAATTTAATAAAAAGTCACACGTGTTCAAGTTGTGCTAATTTAATATGAAAACTCGTGCTTTTTTACTTGGTAGTATCTTATATGAATAATCACTTTTATTTCTAATTTATTGATTATGAATAGACATGTTACGTCAATTTTAAATAAAACACTACAACTCTTCGATAGGAAACAATAGGAAGAAAAAAATGGTATTTTATTTTAGTCCCTTTGAAATTAATATATGTTACGTTAAGAACGAGAGGTCGTTTTGGTCCTATTTTAATTATAAGTTGAAGTTTGAAGTAAAATAAATGATAGGTATAGTTGAGTTGCAAAAAGACCAAGAAAAGAAAGAGGTAGTCTAGTTTAGCATGAAAGCCCATAAGTAGAAGTAGCACTTGAGGCGGTGGCTTACGTAGAGAGTAGAGAGGCAAGGAGGAAACATGTCTAATTTGAATGACACAAGTTTATTTAATTAATTTGTAATGGTGTTTGTGTTTGAATATAAATATAAATATAAAATAATAAATGATTAGAAGCACATGTGCATATATATAGTATATAGTTGGCGTGGGTGGAAACTGGAAAGGAAGGAAAAAATAGAAGCAAAAGAGAGATGAAAGATGAAAGATGAAGCAAATGAAGAAGGCAATAGTGGTGCTGGTTCCTTATCCGGCACAGGGACATGTGAGTCCCATGCAAAAGCTGGCATGGGGCTTTGTGGGGCATGGATTTGAGGCTGTGATTGTGGTTCCTCAGTTTCTTGAGCGGCAGATAAGGGTTGAGGTGTCGGGGGAGTGGAAGAAGGATGAGGTGAAGTGGGTTGGTCTGGCAGATGGAGTGGAGGCCCAGGAGGAGGAGGGGAGAAGCCCAGATTTCTTTGGCATTGAGTCGGCCATGGAGAAGAGCATGCCATCTCAGCTGGAAGGCCTGCTAAGCAAGCTTGGAGAGGAAGGTCACGTGGCTTGCTTGGTCGTTGACTTATTGGCATCTTGGGCCTTGCAAGTTGCCGATTCCTGTGCCATCCCTTCTGCTGCCTTTTGGCCCGCCATGTTCGCTTCTTACCTCTTCATTCAAGCCATTCCTCACATGCTCTCCCGTCGCCTCATTTCTCATTCCGGTTCTGCTTCCTTTTCTTCCCACTTCACTTTTTCTTTTTATTTCTCTTTTTTCCCTTACTTCAATTATCATCTTGCGTTTTGTCCGTATGTCCTGTCCTGTTCTTGTGTATTAAGCTAGTTAATTAATTATTTTCACATGCTAACTTTCCTTTCCAATTATTTATGATAACAGCATAGGAAATAATGTCATATACTAGAGTTTCGTATATAGTCAAATATAGAAAGGCTATGTGGCACTAAAGGACTCATAAAAACGCATTAAATAAGTTTTACCACTATGTATGTTCTAATAAAGACCAGGTACATAGATTAATGGAATGGATTTTGATTTACAGAGAATAATATCTATGTTTGTACAGCCTTGGTTGTAGCCAACAAGTAATGGTATTGATTATTGATTATTGCCCATTGCCCTGAGTTGAGTGCAGGACTTCCACAACATGAGGGAAAATTTTGCCTTGAACCTGAGTTGCCAGTGATCTCAACCGAAGATTTGCCGTGGCTTGTTGGAAACGATGCCGCAAAGAAAGCAAGGTTCAAATTTTGGAAAAGAACTTTGGAGAGATCAAAAAGCCTGAAATGGCTCCTGGTGAATTCGTTTCCCGATGAAAGCAAACTAGAGCATCCAACTAAAGTAGCAAACAAGTTCAGTTCACATTCACAGGGTTGTCCACGTGTGTTACCAATAGGCCCTATTTGTATGCATCGGGTTACAAAATGTGTGAGCTTTTGGGAGGAAGATTTGAGCTGCTTAAGGTGGCTGGCAAAGCAGAAGGCTAACTCGGTAGTTTACATATCATTCGGAAGTTGGGTGAGTCCAGTTGGGGAAGCAAAGTTGAAAAGTCTAGCACTCGCACTTGAGGCTTCAGAGAGGCCTTTCCTTTGGGTTTTGAGGTCCACTTGGCGTGAAGGCTTACCACATGGATTTTTGGAAAGGGTTGTGAAGAAAGATCGTGGCAGAATCGTTTCATGGGCACCCCAAAATCAGATTCTGCAACATAGCTCTGTGGCATGCTATATCACACACTGTGGTTGGAACTCCATATTGGAGGCTTTACAGTTCCAAAAGAAATTGTTGTGCTACCCTGTGGCAGGGGATCAGTTTGTGAACTGTGCCTATGTTGTTCAGGTTTGGAAAGTGGGTTTAAGACTCAATGAGCTTGAAGCAAAGGACGTTGAAGAAGGACTTGTAAGGGTGATAGAAGATAAAGAGATGGATACACGGTTAAGGAAATTGCATGAAAGAATTATGGGGGTGAAAGGCGGTAATAATACGACGGGAGCTTTCATGTTGAAAATGTTTGTGGAAGATCTCAAGAAGGGACGTAAGTCTTCTTCAAGACCCTAACTGAAATAACGATTACTCCTCGGCTACAGACTTCTAATGTCTTATCTTTGTTGGGAACCAGTTTAAGGATGAACGCACTTTTGTATATTATAAATTATAATATTCAGAAGGAATCAACATTCCATCTTGTCCTTTGCCTCTGCCACTAGAGTGGCCATGTCTAGTTCACTTCAATCCATGTATATTTTTATTTGGGTTATAATAATGACAATAGTTCCCCTTTATGTGTATTACAAGAAATTGCAATTTGTCTCTGTTAGTATGTTTTACGAGTAATTTTATTACAAAAAAAAAAATAGTTTTGCTATAATTGGTAGAATATGTGTTGGTGGGTGAAAGGTGGTTGTTTTATCGTGCTCTCTCTCTCTCTCTTGCCTATTTCCTCAATTATCTTGCGTAATTGTTTCTATGTATTTCATCATTTCCCATGGGGTTTGTGGTCATGAATTACAATTGATAAGCCTCAATCATTGCCTCTTTCCATGGCTTTTAAGGCAGTCACGACTAGTGTGAGGTATGACTTTTTTTGTTACATAGGAGGCCCTAAAGGCCCAAAAGAACAAAATTACAAGCTAGCAAATTTAGACATAAAAAAGCCCATACATGAAGGAGATTGGAGCAAGCAGGACGAGGGCCAGTGATAATTAAGAAAGTTTTGAAAAGATCATGAAGGACTAGTTGCCATTAAGCATGATTGAGATTATAACCATTTATTAAAGTCATAAATAGTATATGGACGAGCACCTAAAAGTTTACTACATAATTATTTAATGAAAGATATGAAACCCAAGTAAAAGATTGTTGGAAAAATTTTAATAATAATTATAGTATTTACCTATTTATATTTAAAAGTTTTGTGTTTTAATGGGAACATAATTGAGTCAACAAATAAGAAATCATAATTATGATTCCAATATATTAAGTTGAAATTTGTCTTTTTTTCTTTCAACAAAGGTCCCTTTGAAGAATCAAGAGATTTTAGTTAATGAAGAATCATATGACGCTACCGATGATTACAACAAGTCTTTCATGGTTAAGGAATCAATTTCTATAGATTCATATATTTGTTTCAATTCTTAATAATTTGCATTTGTAGATATAGATCCTTTAGTGTATTGTTTTACTATAATGTTATTTTTCTTATCAATTAAAATTTATTAAAAAACATATTTTGTAGATAGTCATGTTATTTAATAACATTTATTTTAATTTATAACTTTCAATAAATTTGAAGTAGCAGAAAAGTGTTAAAAAAGAGAGTTTAATATTGATTCATTAACCATGACAATGTGAAGAGTTTTATATAGTCAACAAATATAAAATTATGATTTATAACTTTGAAAATAATTATTATAAAAATAATAAATTTATTATTTATGATAAATTTTGATTATTTGATTGTATAAAGTTATTTTACATTATCAGTAGTACATCATCATTAAACTCAAAATATGTTTAAAGAGTATAAATTAACATTATTCCATACACAAAATTTGTAAGCACAAAAAATACTTTTGAGGTTCCAATTCAACAATCTCTTACAAAGAAAATAACCATATGACTTGACATATCTCAACCTTTTAGAGGATAATTCACTCTTGACATGGAAAAAGGGTACATAAGTCGTGAAGACAAAAACCTGTTAAAGCAAAGCACCGCACAAAATGGGCTCTGGAGTAATGAAATGAAGAAAACTGCCTTGCTCTTCTTTGGATGTGACAGTAATAGATAACAGATCATACAAAAAGATGGTTGCAAATGAGAGTCAAAACAAAACCTATACTCAAAGAACAAAGCCATCTTTAAATAGTAAATACAAGTGTAAAACCGACCTGGCTAGGCTCGATCAAACTCATTTATGGGCCAAAAATATTCTGCAACTGATAAATTGGTATGGAGAGTTGCAAACCAGCTATTACTCCTATGAATAAAAAGAAAATTTTGAATCAAAGAAGGTTGAAGAGTCACTCTATAGAAGTCTAGTTGGATGCCTAATGTCATTAAATGAAGGAAACACGTGACTAACTGAAATAATAATAACTGTATAGAAGTTATTTTGTGAAGATTTAAATATGTATTATATAAAAGAAGAAAAATACTCTATTAAAATACAATTTAGGCAAACACGGACTATGATCTAATGCTTGATGACATTAGGGGGAAAAAAACTATGTAATAGGGCCGGTAGCTAAAAGTCCTCGCCTATATTGCGAAATTAATATTGATTATTTGATAGCAGGGTGAGCTTATCAGGGGTATAAACATATGTTATGTTGTGATGTTGGTCCCCAAAAATTAGTTCAGAAACAGGATCCTCTAGGCAAGACAAAATGCTTAAACCATGTTTTTGCTTTGAAGATTATGTTATGTGGACCAACCCAAAATGCCTGGTTGCTCCTTACTCTTTCATTTTCTTCCTCATTTTTATTTTTTTTAAATTTCCTCCTCATGGCTCATTCTCATACTCCCTAATCCCCCAATAACACGAAAATGCATCTAATGTTCCTATTGATTATTATTTACCCTTTTCTACTTAGTTTTGGCATGGAAAATGTCAGCATTCTTTTCAAACTTTACAGTCGTCAATCGGTGAAAATTCAGAATGAAAGGTGTCTGAAATTAGCACAGTTTCACAGTGCTTATGTCTCATTGGCTCATAAATTCTTGGCATATGCAATGGAGCACATGCTTTCTCTGAAGTAGAACAACCACACACGTGGCACGTGGCACGTGGCACATGAAAACACTTAGACTCTACCAGCAAAAGTTGTACTCATGAATTAAAAAAATGTCTTTTTTTCAAATGAATTCTGTCACGCGAAAGAAAAGGGAGCACGTACAAGACATATAATGCAATAAGAGAGAGAAAGTAAACACAACTAAAGACCTAATTTCCAAATTTGGAAAATTTGTTCTTTAGAAGAGCAAACATAGGTAGCTGTCAACTTATGGAAGGCACATGAAAATACACATTGAGTTAGTAAGGCATTAATTGATTGATGATGAATGCCGCGGGTACGCAACTGATAAGAGCTATAAACCACATTGAATTGTTTTGGGCATGTGTAACTCATTTCCCACATTCCCGCACATAGATATTTTTCAACCTTAATTAATTGTTTTATATAACACCCTTCAAATCTATGTCTCTTCTTGCAAGATTGCTATTTTTCAAATTGATATATGAAGAGAAACTGCTATTTGGGTCTTCGTCTTCATTCTTCATCAATGCAAGCGATCTGAACTCGTACTTTTCATTATGGAACCAAGTGGCATGGAATTCTTCTTGCGTTATTTGCTAATTTTCCAACATTATTTTTGCAGGAATGAGACGTTGAACATGCACAATAAACTTGCAGCTATTCTTCATGCTCATGGACGCCACTGCATATTTGACAGAGCAGAACTTCAGGTAATGTGCCTAGTTATACGGGGTTAAATTAAACGAAATGATTTATTGCTATAAAAATATATATGCAGGCAAGAGTAATCATATGGTTAGCAAGTGGAGGAATGGAGGAAAGCACAGGGTTGCATTCTCAAGCATTATTAATACATGTCTCGCGAGGCCTTTCTATGAAGAAATCACTTCAGAATTTCCTCCAGAGGAGAAAGAAAAGGTCTCAAAGCAACATCTCCAATTGTAATCCTCAATGACAAAAATGTATGAATAAATCCTCGTCCCTTCTAGGGGCAGCCTCAGTCTGTATCACTATACTATCTGGTCTGGATACATTTCTTGAATGAACAAGGGCTCTTCCAATCACCACCACCATACCTTTGTTTCTCAAACATATTAATTCATATTTATGTGTTTCAGACCATACCATCTGGAATCAATCAACGTGCTTCTTATTTTAGATTAACTCTTAGCTACTGAGACTTAGTAATTCGTTCCAGGTTCAAAATTCAGTAAACTCCAGCACAATACCCGGGAAGAATGAGTATATTAGAAGATGTTGAAAATGGATATGCATCTTTAAAATTAATGTAATCATAGTTGTGTTGAGTTGAGGAGTAAAAAATTATTTATTTTAGTTTCACTTGTTTTATATTTGAATCTACCTTGAAGTTGCAATCAAAGTGGAAGTATTTTTAAGAAAATTTTTAGAAGTATGCCTAAGGTGCCCAAAAACATACATAAATAATTATGGCACGAAATAAGTTGTTGTCTTAATAATAATAATCAAACTTGATACTAAAATATTTATAATAATTAACACATATTACTTAACCAATCGAGTTATAGTCCTTGGTAAGTAAGTTGGCTTGTGATCTCTGTAGCTGATGAAAAATGTATGCTAAAAGTTTATGCATAACAGTAAAGATTTAGACTATAAAGGTCATATTAAAGATGTAATTCTTGTGTAAAGTAATTAAATCTATACTTTTTCGTGATAGGTGAAATAAGCGTCTTATTAAATTTCAGTCAAATTGAAATTGGCGCATGTTGGTATAAAAAACATTTTATTCCTTATTATCTTTATTCTGTATATATGTGACAAAATTCTATAAGCATAACCCAAAGAGAAGTGCTAGTTTTACTTACCCATCACTTTGCCAGTTTAATAAAATTTAACTGCAACTGATTACCTGAAACTCGTGCACTCTAGGAGGCCTTAAACTGTGAAAAAAAACTATTTTATTTTCTTCATTTTTGTCATTTAGGGAAATACGAGTAACTTTTCCTGGGCGTCCAGATTTTCATTCTCCTTTTCTTTTTCTTTTTATTCGTGCACTCTGTTTTGACATATCGCGGGTACTCAAGGGTGTTTTTATTGATGGGGTTCAATTACATCGATGGGAATGTTTGTCAGTGAAAGGAAAGAGCACAAGAAACGATTAACTGTGTTAACAATCCGTTCAAATGTCTTGGTTCACACCTTCAACTGGAAATCCTTATGTTTGTAGCGTAGAAATTTAAGTTACAAAAAGAACAAAATTCTTCATAATTGAGGAAGACTGCCCGGAACCAATTGCATCAACTATAGACATGTTGCGGTAGTGCTACTGTCATCTGTCATTGATGATACTATTGTTGCTGTAGCTGCTCTGTCCTGTTAGCATTCTCAATGGAGGATTGAATCCGCCTACTAGTTCTCCGTCCAATAAATTCCATAACAAGTGAATTCACGCTGATTGCAATCCCAAATCCAGTGAATGTGGAAAGGAGAATGGAGAGAACTGCATTAAATTCGAGCTACAAAAGTGAAACAAGGTCCATGTCAAAATACATATACTTTTGCTCTCACCTGTCCCAAATGAAGTCATGATAGGAACTATATCATCTTACTATAGTATAAAATACATGAGCAAAAAGGATAAGAATTGCAAACTGGAAGCAAGCATAAGCCCATACGTAACTCCTGCTCACTGCCACCACAAAAACATCACTCGTGTTAATGAGAAATTAATAACTCAGTCTTATGTCATACGATTAAAGCAACTCTAGATGGTCTATTGAACAGGAAAATTACATAGTATCGGTCTTGTTCTAATCAATTCTCGTATCAGTAAGGATAGGACGGTGTCAACTTCTTTTACCATGTTATATCCATTTTATAAAACCATAAATCAGCTATTACACACCAAATCATAGAAATTTTGTTTCTTTGAACTCCGACTTAACTGTATCCCCTATTTGTTAAGACCAAAACAAATTTTGTTCTTTTAACACGCCTCACTTAACTGTATCCCCCAGTTTGGCAAAACTCAAACATAAATTGGTTCAAATCAAAGTCCAAGATTTATACCAAAAGCTGTTAACTAAAGTGAATCGGCACTTTACTCCTTAACCAAAGATTGGGATTTGATCCTTAACTTGGATATGAAAACGCAACTAGAAGAACCACTTTACTTTATTGATGTCACCCAATTGAAAGGAAGGAGTTATGCTTCTTTAATGTTTTGTATTAAAAATAAAAACCAGCACAAAAATGAAATAAAAAGTGCAAATTCACAAAACGAAAACATAAAATGACTTTGACGTGCTACGGAAGACAGAAGGAAACAAGTTTACCCATGGTTGATGCAATCATAGATGAAAGGAGACCTAAGGAAAAGGAGAAAGGTAATGAAATGGCAAGAGCTCGAGGGCCCAAATCTGAAACCTGATAAACTAGAAACCATTGTGTCAGACATACTTACATTTCACACAAAACAGTTAAATTGTTAACAAAGGAAAACAAAACCGGGAAAAATATGAAGCATATACAACATTATCCAAGTGATCTCATATAAACAGTATTAATATACACGACCTTCTGGTAAGGACTAAATAGACAAAGAAACATTATCTCCCTTTATTTTCCAGAATACACACAGGTACAAATATGTATTCCTTGGAATAATTAATGAGTACATTGAACAAAATAATAAAATGAAAAGAAAGCCATTTGTTAAAAGTTTGTCCTGCAAACTGCCTAAACTAATAAGAACTTTTTTCCACTCCTTCGACACTAATTAAGTATGTGTTCCTTATTCTTTATGCCCCAAAATAAGGAATTTTTTCCTACATTTTTAAACTGAGAAAGTTGCTATACTTCCAGTAGATGAGATTATATTTTCTGAATCACCTATTGGATGATATAATCCCAAAATCATAACTTGAGGAGCACAGCAGTTAACTAGTTACCATAAAATCAGCGCAGGTACAAAGAAAAGCGTACCAGTAGTTGCTCTAGAAAACAAAAGTAAGAAAGCATGCTGACCAAGATAAGTACCGGTACCTCCCGCCAGATCCTGTCATGCATGAAATAGCTAGGGTTTAGTACACCTAACAAGGTTGACTTTCAAGGAGGGGTATCTTTGGTAGATCAACAAAGAGATTGTGATGTGTTACATTACATGTATCATGTTCTTTTTTTTCTCTTCATTTTCTTTCACTCTGGTTCAGTTTTTGAGGATTCATGATCCTCTAGCTTTCAACGTCTCTTTTATTATCTAAAAAAATCCTTCTATCCAAAAAACAAACAAAAGCAGGTGTATATATTGTTCAAATTCATAAACAACTGCATATTTTTCTTACATAACCCATCAGCCAATAGCATATGAGTATGCCTTTCAGTGTGTTTGATGGGTCTTGGATTTTCCCCCATAGTCTGGAGCAGCTTCTCTATATTAACTTCAAAAATTTGGGCAAGAGCAAAAGGGTAAAGTTTTACGACCGCGTCTTGTACACTGTCATTTGTGTTTTAGGATGGAGAAAAGGTGCTTGGATATTCAAGGGGAAATATTCTTCGACTTGACATAGAATATGATTATTTTGATGGCATCTTATTGGATCTCAGCATATGGATTCTTCCAGGGTGTTTCTTAGATGGATATATAAAGGGATTGGACCACTCTGTTATTTTCTTTTGTTAAGTGAAAGGAGGAAATCTATACATCTCCTTTCCTTATATTCTTTCTTTTCTTTAAAAAGAAAAAAGGATGATAAACAATACCAAGAACACATCTTATTGCTACCCACCCATATTTGCAAAAAGCTTACTTAACAACCCTAAATAGTTAAGACATGCTGCTTTATGTAATATTATAACAAGCCCTAATATCATAGATAAACCAAAACAATGAGGTACTTGGGCCTTTAACCTTGTATGTTCCAGTACATCTCAAAGTCTGGATCACAAACGCCTATCAAATAATCATGACAATAACACGGGTCTCTCTTCTATGTCAGTTTAAGTGCTAGTTGAACACAAATGGCTAACTTAGGGAACTAACTAAACATACCTGTGATAAGCTACTTCTGTCGGTCGTGACACATTTGATTCCTGCCTAGATGTAGTTTCAGGAGTATGAATTTTCAACAGTGTTACTGGGAGGTTTTGGACATCCTTCTTGCAGACATCACAGGTCCTGTTTCCCTTGATACTAAACCACTTTACTGCACATTCTTGGTGAGCAAGTGCAAGATCACCTTTACAACTACATTCCATCTTAAGTGTATTTCCTCCTTCCCCAAGCTCCAACAAACAAATCCTACAAACTGCTTGTTCCTCTGGAATATCCTCAGTCACATCTTCAATGGCTGGAAAGGAACAGACAGAGTGAAAAGACACAAAGGAATACGAGGAGGGATTTAAGAATATGGTCAACAAGAATAAAGGACAATGAGAATAGTATATTGATTTAAAAAAAAAAAAAACTCATGGATGCAAATGAAAAATTCTACCCCCTAAATAACATGTTTCTATTTAAATACCAAGTAATCCTAACTCACGCAGAAAAAGACAATCCATAAACTAAAACCCTAAGATGAAAATTGAAAATCAAAATTAGAAGTTAACATCAATATGAACTTCATTCAGTATTATCATTCTTTCTCTCATTTGGAGAGTCCACTGGCAATGAAATGCAAGGGTTTTCTTTAGATTATATCTCCTTGGAACCTTTATTTTCTTTCCTCTATAATATTGTTGCTAGTTTTATTTTATTTAAGGTTTGGTGCTCAAGTCAATATAAAAATAGTTGTTGCTTGTCAAAATGACAAAACATTTCAAATTATGCACATTGTTGATCAATAAAAGAAAATTTTGTACATTTCATGTATTTTGAGGAATTACCAATCTCTGGAACCAAAGTACCATCAGTTGAGATTCCACCAACAGTTTCGAGATGCGGTTTTGCTGAAATTACACGAATCAAGCCCCCGGAATCTGTCCTTTTAGTGGTTTTTCCTTTAACTGGGACTGAAAATGATCGAGTCATATGTTGATGAACTTCTGATGTCTATACAAGAAGAAAATATAAATCAGTGCAGCATATATTAAGCAACATATGTCATTTCTCAATAACAAAATGTAAAAAACTGGTACAATGTAAAAGTAGTTGTTTCGGTCTTGAAACAAAAATGAACAATGGAAACATACACTAAAACCAGAACTAAACCCCGGAGGTCTTCCATGTACATTCTCTGCAGCTGAAGTTGCAAATGGAGTGACTGGTAATGAATGTGCAACTTTTGTTGATGGGGAGATGTCCTTATTATTAAGAGACAGATGGGTTGAAGCGGAAGGTTTATCCAAAGGAGCATCCGATGGGGGAGTGTTAGGAACTATGAGACCTGTCTTTTCAATGCCCTGGGAACGAGTATTTGTCTTTAAGCTCCTCTGAGGTAGTAAATTTCTCATTGAAGACCTGGCTTTGGCTGAATTTGGCCTTGGGGGAAGTCCTCTTATGTAACCAGGACTTGACAGTGAAACTGAAGGACCATCAGTTCTTGCAAAAGAAGAAAATGCAATATCTAGTGACCATGTTGGTATTTGAAGTGAGGATAGATTAGGTCGCCTGGACTGGAGAATCGAGAAGGCCTTATCACCATTTTCATTTACAGAACATATCTACAAAGCCATGACATCAAAGTAAAATTCAGAGTTGAACCTTACTGTATTCCTTTTACGATGGCATGGTGTGATAATTAATAATTACTTTAGTCTACCAAGTTAATTAATACTAAATACTAGTAAAACATTAGTAATCTAATCAATTATCAAAAAAGCAGATTATTATGCACTACCACACCCAGAGCCACACAAAAAAAGAAGAAGAAGAAGAAGATCTATAGCACAAAATTAATTTAGTAGCCACAATTGGGTTCTTCTGATCAAACCCAGAGTTTGTTTTGTGAAGAAAATATTTGGAGTAACCTGGGCAGGATCGGGCTCAAAAACAGCATCAAGTTGAAGCTCAGCATCAGCACTGTCACCTCTCTTTTCCATCCAAGGAAATGCTTTGGAAAAACTGTAACAGTCACGACATCAAATGCCCAAACGCCAAAACGTATTATACTTTGGTTTAATTATTATTATAACAATAGAAGGAAAAGGGGTGACAATGATGATACTGATCGGAACAAGGGTTCGGGCTTATTTGATTCAAATAATTAATTAATTCTTTGATTAACAAACGAAACTGGAAAGATTATTTGCTTTTCCGGAAATGTTATCTCACGATAATTACCCACGAACTGCAACTCGTGACTTGCCAACTTTGTGATCCTTCCATTTCTCCCACGATTCTCCATTCTACGCTTTTTCGCTTTCCTTCTTCTGCACTTTGCTCTCACACACACTTTTCTTCCACTCCTCACATGCCTCTTTCAATTCGTTGCAATTTTTCTTTCATCTTTTTCTTTTGTTTCAAACCATAAACTTAAAAAAAGTTGCATGAAAAGTTTTCCATATTTTGTGTTAGATGTAAGAGCTAATTTTAACCTACTAAGAACACAACCAAAAAATTTATATACACCTTATTCAAACTTCTTTTATTATTCATAAAAAAAAATTATCTAATTTTCATTAACTCTTTAACATACTTATAAAAATAGTTCATATAAAATTTATGAAAAAGACTTATTTTATTTCTTATTTTATTGACCAATTTTATATGATGTTAATTTTTGCACAAAATAAATTGTAATTATTTTTTGACAATAAATAAATTATAATTATTAACAAAAAAAATCATTTTGTGAACAATTCTTTTTAGTTTTAGATTAAAATGGAAGAATATATAAATAAGAGACAAAAAGATCTAAATCTATAGAAATGGAAACTAAAGTAGTTTTAAAAAAAAAGTATTACTATATATATAGTATAAATTTATTATTTTTATATATTTATATTTAAATTACTAATAAGTAAAAATAATTTTGTACAATAATATAAATTATTTATTATAAATTTAAAATATAATTCACATATTTAAAAATATTTATTTATTCAAATTTTAATACAAATTATATATTTAAACATAATATTTGTATTTATATATGATTTATTATAAATTTTAGTTATATAATAAATATTTAATTTATATATTGTACATGCTAAAATGCTAGTTAATAAAAAAATACAAATAATTTAATAAATTTTAAACATCTATAACATAAACTTTTGTATAGTTAGAACTTAAAAGTAAAAATTAATTGAAAAAAATCTTTATCAAATTATTTTACTAAATACATCATAAAAGAGAAAAACTTTTTGTTAAAAAATTCTTTATATATTTTTACAATTTTAATGTAATATATTTTTAAAAAAAGTTATGAATAAATAATATATATATATATACTGACGAGATAAATTATTTTATATTATTATCTAATTACAAAATATTATACGAAATAAGTTTATTAAATTTTATAATAATTATTATAAAAATCAAGTCTATAATAATTTTTAATTAATTGGTAATGTAAAGAAAATTACACTGTATACAAATTAAACAAAAAATTGTTACTTTTAAATATTTTAAAATTAAACTGATATTATTAACGAAATTGTATTTTTTTTTCTAATTTAAAAATATTAAAGTTCACCTTCAACATTTAGTTGTATTTTCAATTGAAACAAACTATCTGTTATTTTAATTATTAATTAAAATGTATTACCTTAATATAAAGGAAAATAGTGAATTAATTAGAGATTAATTTCCATGTATTTTCAATGTAAAGATTTTACGCTAACAAGTTATAGAAAGTTATTTTAAAAATTATTATTAAAAAGTTAATAAATTTGTCTTACAAGCTGAAGTTCCTTTTGTATATATTGGGAAAAACCCAAGTCCCACATCGACTAGAGATTAGGCAATTAATAGTATATAAGTGGAAAGCAACCCTTACCTTACAAGCCGGTTTTGTAGGGTTGAGTTAGGCTTAATCCACTATTCTAACATGGTATCAGAGTCATTTAGATCCACTTTAAAAATGGGTCACCCACCATTGATGCATGTCTCATAGGCATGAGGGGGTGTATTGAGAAAAATCTAAGTCCCGCCAATCCTAGATCATTAAAAAGGGCCACCCACCATTTATCCATGTACCAAGCCCAATAGTGTTGGACGTGAGGGCGTGTATTGGGAAAAACCCAAGTCCCACATCGACTAGAGATTAGGCAATTGAATAGTATATAAGTGGAAAGCAACCCTCACCTTACAAACCGGTTTTGTAGAGTTGAGTTAGGTTTAATCCATATTGATCTTCGAGTTGGGGTGTTTGGGATATGAGTGATGTTACCACTAATATTTATATCTCAACTGATACGTTATGCATCCTTGGAAGATACAGGATAGTGCAGCAGCCAGCAGGTGTACTCCCAGTCCCAGGGGAGTAGGAATAGGAAGGTCGTGGGCAGTTTCTTGGGTTGTAGAAGTTGGATTAGAATTTGAAGTCCAATGTTAGTGGCAATAGCCAATAGCATTGGGCCCACTGCTGTTTCCTGGATGCTGGATGCATCACTCAATACCCACATACGTCATCATACATCCCCCCTTCCCTCAACCACGCCTTTCACAATAACATCATGATCATCTTATATCAATATCATTATCACACACATAAATTCATTCTAATAATTTCTTTTTCTCTTAAATTACAAAATATATTCATTCATTCAAATGCATAATTTTATAATTTTAAATAAATTTCAATCAATTATAAATAAATAAAAATTAATAAATAATTATTAAAGATAATGTCGTTAATACTCCTCTTTTATTTATCTTATTGTTCCTTAAAATTTAATATGCCAATTATTTAATCTCCTTTGTTTAAAGGAACTAAGTCCATTTTCGTTTGCTTTAATGTCTCATTAATAAATAAATATTATAATTCTATATTTAGTATATGTGTATGAAATTATATAAGATGCCTATTACCATCGATGAAAGGAGAAATGTTACATTAATTTCTTTAGAGTAAATATAAAAATGATAAATTATATTTGCACTCTTTAAAGTTTAACAAACTTATATTTAATACGTCTTTTACTTCTTTTTTTTTACATGTACTTTTGTTAATTTATCTTATAACATAATATAGTGTGGAGGGAAGCAGATGATCCATTTTCTATAACATGTTGTTTTTCTCTCTATTTCTTATGTTATTTTATAAATTAAGACATCATTTAAAATGAAAAGGCCTAGCAAAACAAAATGAAAAGGAAAAAAAAAGAGCGGAAAAAGAAGGGGAAAAACCAATTATCACAAATTTTTCCATGGTTTGATATATATACACACACATCATCACATAAGAGAGAAAATATTAATTTGTGTGTGGTACACAATTTTTTATTTTTTTGAATTCCATCCATTTTGAGTTAAAGAGAGATGAAAAAAGTGTTTTAATAAAAAGTTTAAAATATATTCGTTTTTACATATTTTTTATTAAGAATAATTTCATCATTTTATAGAACTTTTTTTTTTCCTTTAGATTCACACAACTAAACAAAAAAAAAAGTAACTTCTTTTTATTAGACAATCTATAAAGTCATTTTAATTTCTATTTTTTCTTAAATCAAACATTGTTCTTTTAATTTTTATAATCTCATTAAATGTACATTTTAATTCTTATTTTTTTATTACTTGTCATTTATGTTTTGTCTTTCTTCTATTTCTTTCTCTCCCTCCAATAGACTAACATAATCAGAATGTCCATATTACCAAAGCACTCACTAAATTATTAAAAATATTATTTATTATTAGAGAAAATCTTTCAATAATTTCTTTCAACATTTTTTCTCTCCTTTTGATACTGCTAAAAGTCTAAAAAAGTTTTGACAATGTGTGTAAAAAAAGAAGGTATAGTTTTTATTTTTTTATTAATTTATTATTAACTTGTTGTATATCCGTCTAACACATGAGGACCTGGCCCGTAAATCAAGGGCCACGATCTTCCATTGCGTTTGTAACTACGACTCTGACTCAACAATGACAATGACAAGCAGAGAAGGAAGAAAGTTGAAAGTTGAAAGTTGAAAGTTGAAAGTTGAAAGCACCTTAAATAGCCCACCACTGCATAACTTTCCTCCCTTCTTACCAAACGCAACCAAATCCATGAGCGATTACCATGTCAGGCCCAATTTCCAATGACTGGTTCAATTTCTATCAACAAGGCTTTCCCGCCCCTTCTTCCGTTTCCGAGGCTACAGCCGTCACAACGACCGCCGTGCCGGCCCAGTTAAGCCCGGAAGGGCGAGTCTCGAAGCCCATGAGACGGCGCTCCCGGGCCTCAAGGCGAACGCCCACCACTTTGCTGAACACGGACACCACCAACTTCCGAGCCATGGTGCAACAGTTCACTGGAGCTCCTTCTGCGCCGGGACTTTTTGGGCCCCGCGCAGTCCCTGTGAACCCAAATGGGCTCATGTTGGCCCCTTCTCAACACCTTTACCAGCCGCAGCACTACACATGCACAGAAGGTGGAGAGAAGGGTTTTGTTGAGAGAGGAACAGTTACAGCTCCAAATGATGTTACTTTCATGGAACATGGAGGCTCTTTCTTCCCAACTACCACTCCTTGATTCACCCAATGGGCTGCCCCCACCCGCACCACACTTTTTCACCTCCATCTTATTTTTTTCCTTCAATTCCACCTATGTTTTTATTATTATTACTATTATTATGCTATCGTATTCTATATGCCCTCCTCCCACTTGCTTTAAGCTTTTTTCTTTATTTTCATTTTTATTTAAATTTCTGTTTTTTTTTTTTTTTTATATGTGAATCTTGATCGGGACTTTTCTCTTTTAGGAGTCCTAGCCCGATTCTAGTTCAATTATTTTGGATCCGGTCATTTCGATCGATGCAGGATATGCCAACACGTGCAAATTCTTTTACGTATGTTGACTTGCTTCCTTGTTAGTTGTTATATCTGTGTCTGTCACACAACATAATTCATACAATAAATTTTGTAATCCTAGCATTCGGATATAATTCGATACGAACCTTTTGAGATGATATAGGCGAAGTTGAATATTTGATCCATTGTACAAGTTGGATCAAAATAACCGTACCAATTAATGGACCGAACAAAATAAGAATAGGTGCTAAACTGTGTTCATCCGATCTCTAATACTTAAGTGATATATTAAGCATGTCTATGAGATTAAAGAATATTTAGTATATGATATATCGATTATGTTTAAGGAGAGTCGAAATTAGTTCAATTTTATTTTTGATAATCAAGATAATATGTTAAGATATATATGATACTTAAACTACTTTATTAAATTTTGAAATTTTTGAAGTTCATAAATTGACAAATAATTAACTATATATAAAAATCTTAATCCTAAAATAAGAGATAATAGATTACAATTTTGAAAGTTTAATTTTTGTTGAAACATTAAATTATCTCTAAAGCGTTCTCCAAATCCAAACAGTAATAATTTATATATCAAGTCACTAATTTTATTATTTTTTTCTTACATCATTTGCTTAAAAAAAATTAAAATTTTATTATATATAATCATTTTGGTAACGTAAAATGTGAAAGCAGCCCTCTCATTATAACAGTATATAAAGTCTCCAAAGTCGGGGAAATTTTTTTTATAAACCTAATTGGAACCGAAATATGTTGTTTTCCTACTTATAATTTCTTTTTATCACATCTGATGCCTACAAAACGATGTTGGAAGTATAATTCACATTAAATAGTTATAGTTTTGTTGGAAGTATAATTCACATTAAATAGTTATAGTTTTTAATCAATTCACTAGTGTAAAAGAGGATTTTTATGTCAGAAAAACTTTCGACGTTAAAATGGGAGACGTAAATTTATGTCGGTGTTTAAGACCAACGTAAATTTACGTCGGAGATTTTTGAACACCGACGTAAAAAAGTTGCAAAACCCAAAAAAAATTACGCTGGAACGGCCCGTTCTGCAAGGAGAACGGCCCGTTCTGTAAGGAGAACTCCTGAGAGTCGTGTCCCTAACTTGAACTTGTAGTCCATATTCAAGATCCAGAAGGCCTTGTACAAATTTTGCACTTCTTGTCATACTCTGCTCCTGCCTACAACCAAATATAAACATTATGATATCATGCAATCTGGTGAATAAAGAAAATAGAAAAGCAAAAGGAACGAAGAAGATAAGAAAGGAACCTTTGGACGTAGGAAAGGAGCGAAGAACGAGAAGGAAATCGGAGTGCTCCCAACCAATGGCGCGCGAAGCGCATGCGAAATAATGCATTTTTGAATGGAGAATCCTTGATTTGGGGCGCTATGCTACTTAACTATGCATTTATAAAAAACTATTTTACGTCGGAGAACAAAGGGTCCAACGTAAATTCAACAATCTCGGTTGTAGCTGAGGTCCGACGTAGATTGTTAAATTTACATCGGACCCTTTGTTATCCGACGTAAAAAGTTTGCATTATTTTTAAAAATGTCACCGCGTCATTTTTACGTCAAATATGTTTTGGTCCGATATAAAAATACATACATAAAAAGCCTGTTTTGCACTAGTGATTTCCATCATTTTGGTGGTATGAATTTGGATCATTTGCATGAAATATTAGAATCAAACTTCATTGTGTTTTTGTATAAAATATTAGAATTAAACTTCATTGGGTTCCTATATATATGGGGAGTTCTTATATAAGAGGTGATCAAATTATATTGTGTAACTTTTATTAATAATTATAATTTTTAATTGAAAGATTTTTTTTTTCAAAATATACTATTAAGCTGAATTTTTTTATTTAAATTATTAATCCAACATTACTTGATATTTTATTCTTTTTATTGTTTAATTTTAATAAACTTTGACATAGATATTCAATATAATATAAAATTTTAATTCAATAATTAAATGAATAAAATTTGTATTTAATATATAATTATTAATAGTCTAATAATGATGTCTTGCATGTAATAATGATATTTAATTTTTACATATAAAATTCATTCCCATCTTAATATGTACTACAAATTTTCTGTTGCTACTTTTATGAATCATATAATGTATTTGCATTTTTTATATTGTGACGTCCAAAATTATTATTAATATATTTATATTTTTAATATTTAATTTCTCTAAATATATTAATTTTGACAAAAATATAATTAATAATAAAATTTTATAAATATATATGTATAAATATAATAATATTTAAATTAGTGCATATTAAAATATGTACTTAGAATTATTTCAATTACACTTTTTCAAAATATTTTGATAGATTAAATTTTTATCGAAGAAATAAGCATAATTAAAGGAGTATGATAATTTAAAAGATATATAACCTTATATACAAAAACCTAAGGTGAGTCATATCTTTATACATATAAAGTTTGTTATATACATTTATAATTGCTTTTCAAAAAGAAGTAGGAGATGCAGCCTTCTACAAAATATAAGGTATAAACACTAATTACATCATTGGTATTAGCAAACAGGGTATATAAAATTTCTCACCCCAAATATACACCCAAAAAGGAAATAACATATACTTAGAATAGTCTACCCCAAATAAGAGAAAGATGGAAAACATATGGAGACTAACCCTCCCCAAACAAACTATCATAGTACCCCCATCCTCCAAAGTCACATCATCGATCGAGGTCAGAAGTCTCGTCATCAACATATACTTCAACACCAATATCTTGTTGAAAAGTTTGTTAGGTAGGTCTTCCATGAGCATCGTGATCAAAGAGTTCTTTCAGAAATCTCAATGCATTTGCAGGTCTCTCCATGCCATAGTAAACATAGTAATATCATACATGAGAACTTCTTATATCAGGCGTCCACCCAAAAGGCATCATGTAAGTCACATTTACCTCTATAGTAATTTGAGGTTAGGGTTGTTCTCCTAAGGTATTTACTAAGAACATATAATAACTAAAATGTACATGATTTCTAACTTCACGAGCTTCCTCATAGTTGTAACGAAACTCAACAAGATGAAGGGTCCTTTGGGGGTGTTGCCATCTCTTGAAATATGGGTTGTAAGGGTGAGTTTCCCCCACTCTTCAAACTCCACAAACATAATAACAAGCATATAGTAATACATTTTAAAATAAACAAATGTACTATCATTCAACAATCTCTAATGGTTTTATCAACAATGTATTGTCAGGTATCATAAAAGGTTCATCAACACATTAATCTATTAACTTGGGCCCGAACGCTACCATCAAAACCCTTTTGATAATGATGGTCTTATTCCACATGTGGATAATTGCTGGTTGATCAACACTCTAGATAGATATAATGTCAGCACATATGACCCCTTGGTTAAAAGTACAATTCGTAAGGGTGTAAGCAGGTTGAGTTGGGTTGAGTTTGGATAAACTAGTTACCTGACCCAATCAAAATTTAACGGGGTTGTGTTGGATCAGATTTGTGCAATTTTTTTTTAATTTCCAACCCAACCTAACCCAATCACGAATGGGTTGGATTAGGTTGGGTTAATAAGGTCAGCATAATTAGATTTATTTATTTTTATAAAAATTTAAATATTTCAAAAAATATATAAATCATTTGATACATTGTTGTAAATACAATATTATCAACTTATAAAGCAAACAATGATACAAATTAAATTCTAAAATAAATTTATTAATTTGTTACATTATTATCAACTCAAAAAATCAACATTAATCAATACAAAATAAAATTTTAAATAAATATATTATATTTTTACAATGCTATCAACCTAAAATACAAAACTTATTACTAAATAAGAGTAACAATGAGTATTATCTTGAACAAATGATCATTCAATTATTATTATTATTATTATTATTATTATTATTATTATTATTATATAATCGGGTCGGGTTGGGTAACGAGTTGAAAACACAAAATCTGTTACCAACCTGTACAGTGTCGGGTTTTGATCGGGTTAGGTTGGGTCTGATTCGAACAATAAAAAATATTATCCAAACTTATTGGGTTGGCTTGGGTCAATTCAATTTCGCGAGTTACCTTTACCCACTTACACCCCTAACAGTTTACATCAACATTAGAAGTGGAACGTGAGGCCTATGATTTCTAACACATCAAATATGTACACCAAATGCCAGTCAAATTCACCACTTTCCAACTTCCCAAATTTAAAAAGACTTTTTTTTCCTGTACCCCAATGTATCTTTGTAATTATCCACACATCCACCTAATGTTTTCTTATACCATAACCCAAACTTTATTCTTTAATACATAATTCTCATGCCATAATAATCATTAAGCCAATTGAAAGAAAATAATACAAACCATTTCTAGCACACTAACATTCAAAAGAAACTAAAATACAAGAAAAGTCACACAAACAAACAGATAACATAAAGGTTGTAAATTCAAATATTACAAACAATTTAGATCAACCAAGTAATGTCCCATGATTACAATATCATCCTAACCATTATGCTGAAGGTCGAACACCTTTGGACTCAAATAAACCACACAATCCAATATATTCAAGAATTAAATTCGCATGCCACGCTTAAATTGTCAGAGTTCACACTCTCATGATCTTATCAATATGAAAACTATCCTAGGTTTCAAAGTAAATACTTCATATCACAATCATAAATTTTATATTATAAAATAATATACATATCATAGTTCTTCAAATTACACAGAGCATAGAAAATTCATAAATTAATCATTTTATCAATTGGTACATATTATTTTAATTTTTCTATTTAATACTTTCTCAAAAGTTATCCATGTTCTAAATTCATTCTTAAGGTCGCAATGACTAAATTAAATCATTTTAGAAACCAACTTTAGAAAACAAAACAAGAAGTGCATTGAAAGTGTCAAAACTTGATTATAAGTACTAAATTGCTCATAAACCGATTTTTCATAAATAAATGAGTAAACATACATTTTTCACACCTGGCAAGAACATTTTAAACACTAGAAACTGTATTAAAACAGGGTTATCATCCCCCAAAATTATATCATTTTCGTGCTAAAGAAAGAAAATTTTACAAAAGTGCTTAAAAATTATTTTAATCAATCTTTTACTAGAAAACTCTGTTTTAAATGATCTTTGAACCAAACCCTAGGTTTTCATAGTCAAGAAATCCATTTTTGACATCAAAAATTGAAAATAACTAGTAGATCAATGCAGACCAGAATAGGGCAGTCACGATTTTTTTTAGATTTTATTTTCCAAGATCAAAAGAAACTACAACAAACAAGAGTTCAATGGTTGGGATCAATTGCCCTTACCTCAAGGAAGATTTTATCAAGATGGAATGAAGAAAACAAGCTTCTACACAAATTTCCCTAAGGAGAACAAGCTTGATGTAACTCCAAAGAGAAATAGAAGAAGAAAATCAAAGGATGGTGAAGTAGAAAATTCAAAAACTTAGTTGTTTACCTTATATTTGAGTAGAACAAGAAGAAATGCTCTAGAGAAGAAGGAGGAATGAAGAAGGTGAAGAGAAACTACTGTTCTCCTTTCTTGGAGTGGTTTCACGTACGTGAGAGTGGAGAGGAGAGTGAAAATTTAAATTTGTTTTAAGAAGATAACTTATGAGACAAGTTTTAAGTCATTTGAATGAATAATGACCTTCTCTCTCTTTTTTCTTCGTAGATTTTGAATCCTTCTCTCTTCTAATTCAAATCTACAAGTATAAAATACTTAAAGGAAGGAAAAGAGTTAAATTAAAATAAAAACAAATAGATATATAAAATATTTGCTCCAAATTAATAGCTATGAGTATATTTTGTTTGGAACTAAATTTTGGTTCTTATTGAAAATATTTTTTCAAAGCATAATTAATCTTCCTCATAATAAAATATTTCAATTCATGTCCTAGAAGAAAGAATTAACAACTTAAAATAATTAAATTCATAGATATCAAAAAATTATAATTTAAATCATATCTGTAAACAAAACAAAGAAATTCACGACCAAATAAAATAGAAATTTTTATAAAATTCATAACAATATTTATGAATCAAATATATAAGAAAAATTAGGATGTTACACATATCACACATTAAATTATATTATTACTAGATATGAAATTGGAATGCACAATAACATAATTTATTTGGGTTAAATTCTACCTTTGATCCCTTTATTTTTTGTTAATTTGTAATTTTGGTCCCTCTATTTCAAAATAGAGATATTTAGTCCTATTTTTTAAAATACCGAATTTTGATTCTCTCATCAAATTAACATATATAAATCGTTAAGTTTTGAATTTTATTCACACTTAAGTGATGTGACATTTAATAATATGACATAAGATGAAAAAACTAAAAAAAATTAATGCAAATAAAATTTATTAACAATATACAAATCAATTACTTGTTAAAATATATACAAACAAAATTTTCTTTGTATATTATTTTTAAATTTTTTTATCTTTACATGTTACGTCACTTAAGTGATAATAGATCATTGAATAACGTTAAAATTTAATAATCAACAAACATCAAATTGATAATAGCACCAAAATTTTGTATTTCTTAAATCAGAGAGACTAAACGTCCCTATGTTAAAATAGAGGAGCTGAAATTGTGAATTGACAAAAAAATATAAAGACTAAAAGTACAGTTTAACTTTTATCTTTTAATTTAAAATTTATGCATTTTAAATTTTAAAAAAAATTACATTGTTAATACGACTTTTAGAAAAATTATTATAAAAATAAAAAATTTATTATGCACAGTATTTTGTGATTAAATGTAAACCTAAAAATCCTTTATGTTATCAATATATACTATTTACTATCCATCTTTTCAAAAATAAAGAAAGAAAGATAGTCATCTCGAATGAGAGTGCTTTGCTTAAACTAAAAATGGCCATTAGTTTGGTCAACGAAACGAACCTAAAACTCGAAATAAAATATAAAAAAAACAACTAAAGTTTGAAAATTTTAAGAATTAGAACTAGTTTATTGTTTTTTGACTTTTAGTTTCAAATCTCTGTACCTAATTTAAATTCAAATACTTAATATAAAATGAAGCTTGCTGAGCGACAGGGCCACAGTGGATGCGAGGGAGTGGTAGCAACGAAATTGCTATTTTATTCTTAAAACCTAATGTGTTTGCAAGAAGCTATTATTAGTAATCACGCCAAAGAAAAATACTCCGTCAAATGGTCATTGTACGTAAGCCGAATTACGACCAATGGTCAACATCTTGCAGAAAGATATAATGCAAGTACTCTCCAGTCATTACGGACGAAACTTGAAGGCAGACTCTATGGAAGCATGCGAGTAGCAATCCAAGATAATCAAGATATTGAGCCCAAAATTAAATGAATAAAAAGGATGGTATTTTTTCCCACCTTAAATTAAGTATATGCACAAACAACACTTTTCTGTATACCAGCATTCAACACGCAAAAAATTTGACCACACCAGCAAAATTAAAGTTCCCTTCTGCAACCCCAAAGCACAATCCACTATCCAAGATAATGCATATAATATTACAGATATCGCATGGACAGTTGCTATTGACTGAGAACCCAACAACTTCACCGAAGTATACCTACTTTTTGTTCTCTTCTTTTCCATTATTTTGAGGATTAAGCTCATCATCATCGTAATATTCTTCAAAATATTCTTCATCACTACCATCCTCATCATCATAATAATACTCATCATCATCATCATCCTTATCATCCTTGCCATTTTGTAGACGAAGTGTGCCATCTCCTGATTGCTGGCCTCTTAACCTCTCTTGAATTCGATCCCTAATTGCTGTTCCCTGTTGTAGATCCAAGTAGTAACGAAAAAAATACAAGATGACAATTTAACTAGTTTAAACACATCAGAAGAATTATATAGCTTTTTCGCATAAATTAACTCACCATCTTGTGGCAACCTTCCTCAAACATTTCCAGAAATCCAGCAACCCAACGATCAGCATTTTCCACCCACTCATTCCGATGCATACCAGCAGTCTTTGCAACTATTTGGATCTGGATAAACCACACAAAGATATGCATCTTTACCATAATTCAATAGAAACAAAACAACCGAGATCATTTTTAATGTATGATAGTATTAAGCGTATATATATATGTTGAAAGGAGAATACTTATGTCCACAGGACTTCAAGTATTGCTTTATTATGTAAAAGCATATGCTTTCACATTCTACTTTCTTAAGGAAATATCCCCCTGACCGATTGCCCAACCCAAGACACATCTATCTTAACCTGAGCCTCATCTATACTGCTACATACAAAGCAAAATCCTTAGAATAGTTTTAAACACTTTCGATTTGATACAGCCTCTTCCCTCTCAAGTTTCACCCAAATATACATTTAGCAAAATCAATAATTTAAAAAAGCTGCTTCATAATGCTGCTTTTAAAAACTATTCTTAAGAGACAGAGACTCAGAGAGATGTTAAAATAGTATTAATTCTCTATTTTCTTTTACAAGACAAATACAGTAAAGCCAGTCTATAGTTTCTCTCTCTCTAATACATTTTCCATGCAACACAAGAATGTTATTGTTGCCAAATATTAGTATGAGCTTAATAAAGTCACTAAAAAATTTGAAACAAGCAATATTTGGAATCGGATGTATAGCCAACAAATGACAATATGGAATTCTGCCGAAGCAAACAACTGAATCAAGCAACTGACTGATATCAGTTTCATGGCAATAAATCATACAGCCACTAATTACCAGCGAAACATTTATCTACGATGCCCAACAGTGAAGGTTTGACAAAAAAAAGAGAAATTATATAAGAGCAATATTTTCTCATTCATCCAGGTTCATGATTAGTAATTACAATTGTGAAGACAAACCATTGAGTCCAGAAACCAGTAGCAGATGTCCAACGTCCCATAACAGTTTAAATCACAATTGAGTTTAACTGTGAATTTTTCAAATCACTTTACCTGACATTCTCAGTCCCTACTTCATTGACCATTTCATTACAACTTTATGTGTGATTTTTATCCTACAACCCCTTTATCCCATTTAATTCACGTGACTTTTCCCAACACAAGTGTTAATCCAACTTGATTATTTAAATGATATGTTATAGCAATATACATACCTTTTCACCAACCTTTTCTTGATGTTCCTTTACTTTCTCTTGTAATGTCTTCAACCTTCTATTCACCCTCAGTCGCTTTTCCTATTATGACAAAACAATGACAACCATAAGAGACAAGAGCATTAATTATAGGAATAACAAGAGCGACATCAATATCAGCACAAAAAATTCGCTTAAAGAGGTATCCTGTTAAATTTTAAAGTAGAATAAATCAAAGAAATTCATGCCTTCACATAGCTCACGCCAAGCTCATTTCTCGAGTACCCACGATCCAAGTTCCGCAGCACATACTGGTTATAGTCTTTGACAATCCTCATTATAACATCAGATGTAGATATTCCTTCTGTCCGTTTTGTTTCCTTAAACTTCCCAACAGCTTTAACCTACATACAAAATTCATGGAGCATAATATAAGTAAAGGGAGAGAGTAACAAGGAAATAAAATAAATAAATAAATAAATTCTCATACGTACAAATTCATAAACATCATTGGCAGCACCACTGGCATCAGCATAACTGGACAATGGGTTGACAAATGCAAAAGGATGATTATACTATGCACACATATGCAATGAAATGAATGGATCCAAGTTACTAGATTCACATGTTGATGTTGAAAGATTATTCTTACGGAAGAGAGTCATGAGCAACATAGTCAATGTTGTGCTTGTCAAGAAACTCTTGATTGATAACCCAAGGGGCATCGGGAATAACCTCATCCACCCATCTGCTCTCAAAATGAAACGAAATTGAAATTGAAATCCAAATCAAAATAGTAGAAAGAAGAAGGTTCTGAACAAAATATCATACTTGCAGTGGCGCAGGGATTCGTATCGTTCGGCCTCTGTCATAACGGTTTTGCCTTTGTATTTGTGGGTGACTTCATCGTTGCAACACCCAACCAGCAAGTATGTATTTGGAAACCTAAAAATCCAAAGTGAGCAAAAAGTATCTGTGAAGGGTGGAGAAGGAAGGCTTTAAGAAATTCGTTTTGTATTTACTAATAATAATAAATATTGATTGATTGATGTAAAATCAAAAATTGTGTTTGATTAATCAGATCTATCTCGGAGAGAAAGGATGAAATAATAGTAATAGTGATGAAAATGAAAGAGGAAATGAGGCATACGATTTCTTGGCTTGCTCAAGGGAGCGAGCGTGGCCAAAGTGGAAGAGATCGTAGATGCCATCTGCGTAGACCCGAACGGGACGGTCCTTCGGAGGCGACGCCATTTTAGAATGCCCACTCTGATCTGCCATTCTCCTCCTCTGCTCCGCCTCTCTTTCCTTTTGATAAATACCGATTTCGCAAACCCCCAATTCTTCTTTTTCTCCACAAAATAATTTTTAAAACTTCTGTAGATCATCACAAATTATGTTCCAAATATTTTTTTTAAAAACAATTACCATAAAAATCTTTGACCGTACGTACGTGATTCAGAGTTTACTCTTAAATTTTTTTTAAAATTATCAATTCTTTCACATTTAAAAAAAAAACTAAACCGCCTAAATGAACGTATTATAT